CAAAATATTCAGGCATTTTTCATTCAACTGTATCTTCTTTACACAGTCTTTTTATTAACATTGCTGCTTTCTAGGTTTCTTCTTGCCAGCAAACCTTTCTATTTGTTTTTCTATCAGCTTCTTCCCTCAAGACGAACACAATGCTAGGATGCAAATCCAGGCCACTTCAATGTCTGTCTAACTAAGCCTCAACATTTTAGTCACAAAGTTCCTTCTCTGCACCTGGGAAACTTCTCTGCCACTACAGATATGGTTACATATGTTTTTAAAATGTTCATCAAATAGAGAAGTTGATACCTCACTGGGATTCAGAGGAAAAATTACATTTTACGATGCTGTTTCAGCCTTATGTATATAGTCAAAATCTGGTGGATTTAGTTCATGTGCTTTTGTCCTTGACCATTCTTGGCTACTGTTTTACATGAATGAAAACTGGGACAGAAGGAACAGCTCAGTGAGAAGTGTATCCCATCTTCTAGCTCTGCTGCAGTCTGCAACAATTTGCAGTCACAGAACATGACAAATAATGAAGAAGCATAAAGATTGACACACGAAATTGGCAGCACAAGGAAAGCTTGAGTAATACAGTGTACAGATTGATAGGGTACTTGCACAACAGTCTTGTTGTTGAGGAAAGAAAACTGACATAAGACAGTGAATTTGTCTTTAACTCAGGTTGAATTCCTGGCTGCATTCCTCATGTGTATTTTCCATGAGACCTGAGCAGATTGCTCTTCTCTGAGTTGCTCTTCTGTTCTTACAATATGTGAATATGTTGCAGCATATTGGTTTTCAGGAAAAGAAGTCCACAAATTAGAAGGGGACTGGATATATAACTTAACTATGAGAAGCCAGGAACTGATGAGACTGTTCATATGAAGAGCAATTTTGTGCAAGGACAGGACCATGAGATCTTCAGAGCTGCTTTGGCATGACTTTTCCCTCATTCTCCCCGACACAGGGCAGGGAGACGAAGGGTAAGTGGTGGAAGGGCAGTAGCTTTTGCTGAGAGATCCCTAAGACATACATTTGCTAGGAGATTTAGGAAACCTAGAACATGCACAGGTGTCTGGCTGGAAGCCTCTTCTGCAGGTTTCCTTATAGAATTATCTTTCTTCTTGTTATCTCTGGAGTTACTGTCTGTCATTATGAGTTATCATGTGGTTTATTTAATCTTTCTATTGATATATTGGTTTCTACATAAGTTTATGTGTAGAATGTTTTATTTTGACCAAAATTCTTTCCAGAATTCCAAAGGCTAAATACTTTTCTGGCTTGATGCTAATCTGTGCTTGACTACAGTAGAAGGAGCCTGAGAAACAATACTGTCATTGAGAAAAAAATGTGAACCCACTGCCTGCTTACTACTCAGGAATTCTGTATTACACATGTGAATTGTGTTTAGTGATTTCTTTGCCTGTACCTTTGGGTATTCTTTTTCTTTATTTTCTCTCTTGCCACAAAAATATGTGAATGTACTAATTCCAAAGATGCGTTGGCATCCATATGGTTATTTCTTTTGCCAGCCTTTGATGGCAGGCTGAGAAGTGTGCTATTGGGAGTGACTCTGAGCATGAATCCAGACGACAAGGTAGCTGAAATACTGTTTTCCTGTACTTTCTGTGTAAATATTTTAACTAGTAAATTTAACACAGTTTCAGGTGTGGTAGCCTGACCCAATAGCTCAGATATGTAGTGTGGTGTATTGACCCTGGCTGGATGTCAGGTGCCCACCAAAGCTACTCTGTCACTCCCCTCCTCAGATGGATAGAGAAGAGAGAATATAGTAAAAAGCTTGGGGGTTGAGGTAAGGACAGGGAGAGATCACTCACCAATTATGATTATAGGACAAACAGACATGACTTGGGGAAATTAGTTTAATTTATTACCAGTCAAATCAGAGTTGGGTAATGAGAAATAAAGTTGAACCTTAAAAACACCTTCCTCTCACCTCTCCCTCCTTCCTGGGCTTAGCTTCACTCCCAAATTCTTTACCTTCTCCCCACCAGCAGTGCAAGGGGATGGGGAATGGGGGTTCTGGTCAACTGATCACATGTTGTCTCTGCAGCTCCTTCTGCCTCATGGGGAGGACTCCACACTCTGCTCTTGCTCTGGCGTGGGGTCCCTCCCATGGGAGACAGTTCTCCATGAATTTCTCCAATGTGAGTCCTTCCCACAAGCTGCAGTTTTACATGAACTGCTCCAGCATGGGTCCCTTCCATAGGGTGCAGTTCTTCAGGAGCACACTGCTCCAGTGTGGGTCCCTGCAGGCTCACAAGTCCTGCCAACACACCTACTTCAGCACAGGCTTCTCTCTCCACAGGTCCTGCCAGGAGCCTGCCCCAGCATGGACTTCCCATAGGGTCATAGCCTCCCTCAGGTATCCACCTGCTCTGGTGTGGAGTCTGCCATGGGCTGCAGGTGGGTCTCTGCTCCCCTGTGGGCCTCCATGGGCTACTTATTTTTTGAGACATAGTAGAACTCTACAGTAAATAAAAAGTAATTCAGGATGCTGTTTTGTAAACTGGTGTAGTGCTGATATTTCACAGCCCCAACAACAGCTCCTTTATATGATTTAACTTGTGATTGTCATGTGAAAAATGGGGAAAATGCGGGAGCTTCTCAACAGAGACACACTAAGGAAAAGGCAGTGCCTGCTGTTTTCCCAATGACTAATTGAAACACAACTGTCTTTTTCTGATTTTGCTCAGTGGCTTCCTCATGGTGTATCATGCAGCAGTGGATGACCAGCAATGCTGGCGACACAGTGACATTAGGATGTGGGATCTGTCTGTCCTTCTCTGTCTGTCTGGGTGCTCCCCCTCAGCCAGGGAAGGCTCTCTTAAAATTCTGATGCATTACCAAGGACCAGAGGCTAGTGGTACCTCTATACTAAGACTACATGTTGTAGCCTGCTCCCAGTTTTGGAAAATTATGTAGTTGTGATGGAGAGAAATAATCATAATAAAAGCTACACATGCCACTTTTCTACTCACAGTTTTCTTTCCCCTGCACACTAAGAAATTTCCGTGTTATCCTCTGCCTGCTATGTCTTTCTACACACTCCAGCTTCTTTGAAAATGACATTTCTCCTTCCTCATATACTACATTACAAGCACGTTTCCTTGCCTTACCTTGTCTTGCCTACCTCAGTACCTTCCCTTTCTCTGTGCTTACTCTTTCTGTCTCATATAGGGTCTCAAATGGCAGTAGGCACATTCCTATAGCTGTCTGAACTGAAACAGCTTTGATTATAATGGCTGCTTGGACACATATTTTACATATTTTATAGACATCACTTCAGGGTTTTAATCAGTTAACTGAATCCTATCTGTGTGTTTTGATCTTATTTTGGTGATGCTGGTAACAGTGTGTTAACTTTAATTGCTTTCAGATAGTATGTTGGTAACTTTGGTACAAGACATTGTCTAACTCAGATTCAAAGGCTGATCCTTCCTGCACCAGAGGTGTGTATACAGGTGGTGAGCAGTATGGAGATGAGTGTTGTTTAGAGGGTTTTTGAGTCAGTGCTTCCATTTATAGCTCCTGAGCTTCTTCAAGTTATTTTTTTCAGCAACTATTCACACTTTTTGTCTTTTTCACATATCAGGAGCAGTAAACAAAAGCCAGTTCCAGGTAAATTGAATCCAAAGCAAGATGAGTTGAACCCCATTTCAGACTACATGTTATTGCTAATTCACTTTGTGCCTTCATCAATGAGATAGAATAATATTTCAGTTTGTCTGACAAAAAATAAGGTTTTGATATAAAGATCTGAGAACCTGAAAGTGCTGATGCAGTGTGGGTGAACTCTTTAGCTGTGTGATGGCAATCATCTGCTGCATAGATCATAGACTTCTTGTGCCAGAATGGTGTGGTTGAATATCCATGGAAATGTTGACAACCATGGCTGTTTTCATGATACATGCTTACCAAAATGGCTAAACAACAGAGGTGTGGAGGGGAAGGCAGTGAAAGCTTTCAGTGAAGCAGGGGGAGTTGCTTGTTTTATTTAGTATGGTGGACTTGAACTAACAGCTATTGCTTCAGACTCACAGAATCACTAATCACTATCTTATTTTGATTTATTAATTTTGCTCCTCTAGCACACAGGAGTTGCATTGTGGGCAAGAATTGCTGCATACTAGAAGCTTTTTAAAGTTGTTTTGTCAATGTCCTGAACAGAACCACTTGCATGCATGTCTGGTGTGTGTATTGATCTCACAGGCTGCCTCCTGCCAGGTGGGTAATAAATGCTCGGCTGTGACAGTTCTGAAAGTCTAACAACCAGATGAGCTCCAAAAGAACCTCTGGTGTAATAATGGGAAGAGGATTAGAGGGCAAATAAGGACCACTCACCCTTTAAAAACAATTAAATAATTTATTTTGCATGCAAAAAGGCTATTAGGAAAGGGAACCCTTCTCCACTTGCCACTCATATTTTCAGTACAAGCACTGGAGTTCTGCAGTGGGCAGGTGGAGTCTCAATCCCAAACTTATACTACCACGCTTATTAATTTTTGTTAATGAAGCACCTATATCTGAGCTTCCAATTAGTGTTGTACTGCTACTGCTTTAGTGGAAAGTATTGTCTCCCAGTGAACGAACTAAAAGAGCAGAGGTTTCCTCTTCTGCTTATCATCTGTTTACAGAGTTCTGATCAAAAGAATGAAAGTGTTTCTCCTGCCACCGCAGCTGAAATAAGACCATCAATTTCTCAAACCTCATAAAAGACTTGGAGAAATTAATCTGAGGCATTCACTCTCCTTGACAAGCTGCCAGAGCCTCCAGAACTTGCTTTCACACTGGCATCTTTTCTGCCCTTGATGTCATGTGTGAAACACGAGGATTTGTACTGGTGCTAATCCCTCTAATGAGGGCTTCTCCCAACCTCTATATAAATCCTGCTCAAAGCTGTGGCTGCTGGGCAGGCACCAGAGAGTCAAAGCACCGTCTTTTGAACTGCATTCAAGGCAATTAGAGGCTGGGATTAAACAAACACCCAACACCAGCACCCTCAGCAGCGAGAGGGATTATCCCGGTTGGCTGGGGCCGGGAGCTGTGGCGAGGCCAGGTTGTCCCACGGCAGAGGTCTCGCTGATCCACTCGCTCAGGTCCAGCAGAGAGGCAGAGCCTGCACCCGGTCGTAATGGGTGCCCTGAGGTGGCTCTTCTGGGCTGGGCTGGGCTACCTGAGCTGTTGCTGTCCCCAGCAGGTGCAGGCACAGTTTCCCCGTGTCTGCATGACAGTGGAAGCCCTGCGTTTGAAGCGCTGCTGCCCGGCCTTGGGGACGGAGCCAGGCAACGTCTGCGGGTCCCTGCAGGGCAGGGGACGGTGTGAGGGCGTGCGGGCAGACACTCAGCCCTGGAGTGGCCCCTACACCCTTCAAAATGTGGATGACCGGGAACGGTGGCCCCTCAAGTTCTTCAACCAGAGCTGTCGGTGCACAGGTGAGATGGGTGCTGAGCTGAGGGGCTGGGGATGGATAGGTCTCCTAACCTTGCTCCAAAGTCCAGAAACGTCCTTGGTGGCATAAGGCATCAAGAAGGTTTCAATTATTATCAATTTCCTAAAATTTCTGTCATGTACATGACACTATCAGCACTTTTTCAGAGCAACGGGGTTGATAAAGTGTTTTCTTTCGTGCAAATTTTTGTGTTTTCCTCTTTACCCTTGTAGTTGTCCCTGTAGCCACCCGTCACCTTTCTCCTCAAGGTTTTGGACCTCTCAGTGCTGCGTTCAAGGCTCTGTCACTGCTAATCATGGTGCAGTGAACCTGGATCAGTGTGCATTGACTGGAGATTTATTCCTCATGGAGTAGTACTTTGCAGCACAAAATAGCCTCATGCACTGAAAACAGATGCCTGGCCAGGGTGTTTCCCAGAGTTGTTAACTAAATCTGCAACTCACACTGATCTGAAATGTGTCTGTATGACCACTGAAGAGGCCATCCCATCCTTTTCTTCCCCATCTCCAGTCACCCCTTCTCACCCATGACTTTACACTGGCTCCTGTATTTGTACTCTGGAGGTGAAACAGATCTGGGAGATGTGCTTGAAGGCTAACCTGGCCAAAGGGATCAGGTTTTAATAAGACCAGTTCACTAATGCTGGCAGAAGGGAGGGAGTAGGAAGGTGTGGTCAGGGCAGGATAAGGTGACAGGACCCTTTCTCAGCATCAGCCCTGGTTGAAGGAGGGTTAAAATGAACAGGAACCGCAGCCTCAGCCCAGACTGTTGTGCAGGGCTGGCAGGAGATGGCACCAGGAGTCAGGCAAAAGGCATGTCCCAGGCACTGAAGTCACTTGCTAGGCAGATTTCAAATGAAGCCTGGGATTCTTTGTTGAGAACATAAAATTGTTTGAGTCTTCTAACATGGGAAGAATAGCCTGTTTTCCTTCAGCATGATTCTAAGAGCAAACTGAACCACTCTGTCTAAAATACACCTCGGCTCTCATTATCAAAACCAACCCAGATCAATCTGAGAAGGCAGCATTGCAGAAAATTTCAGCCAAAGAGGTTAAGTTTTCCAGTGCCTCTATCAAATGAAAACAGAGAGGTAATGGCAGATGACTTAAATGGATACATGAAGTTACTGGACCTCCTCAAAATAATAACAGCAGATTTTAGAGTATAAATCAGTTTTTATCTCTTTCTTTGACTGGCTTTCAAATGCTTGTGTGGAAGGACTTTCCCAGACACTTTGCAAAAAGAAATTGGAAGCAGGATTTTTAATTTTAAAGGTTTTTATATACTGGCTTAAGTCAGGTATCACATGCAGGCACATATGGTCAAAGTAATTAGGGCGTCAAAACTTGGGAGTAAATTGAAGAGCAGTTGAGACAGATATGGTATGCATAGGCAGACATTAATTTGCTTGTCCAAGTAGAGATAAGCACTGGTATTTGATATTTGCAGGACTAGATCCCAAGTTATGTGAGCAGAATATAGTGTCGCTTCATTCAACCTTACTTCTGCTGAGCTGTTTGCTCTCCTTGCCTCCTTAAATCTGGTCTCTCCTGCTGCATTTTTATTACACTTGTATTCCTCTTTCTCCTTGCAGTTTTTATTACCTAAATATACCAGTGATAAAGCATTAAGATGGAAGGCATCCTTAAGAATGATTTTCAGAAACTTTTCCTGGGCTCTACTCTGCTGCAAGCAAAGGCATTTCTAGGAGAATGTGTACAAGTTCACAGCTACATGGGATTTGAATGAGATCTGATGTTTCTACAAGGCTGGTGATTGTGGCTCTGTGTCTATTAGATTTTTTTGTATTTTTTTCACTTCATTTTACACACTGTTTGGCTGTCTGCACACCAGAGTTTTTAGTGGTGTAATGTGTGGTCTTTATTAGGCATCTAGGACTGTGGTGTCTATGTAACATTATGGGAGCTAACATATGGCATCTACCTAATATAAATTAGATATGCTCATTCAAAGGGACATGGAACAGTGCACATCTCTACTATTAAGGTGACTTATTTTCCAAATGAATGTTATGTGCAAACTGCCTATTTGAAATGGTTCTTGGACTATGCAAACTTCAATCCCGCCAAGGCTCTTTCTAGCACTTTAACAGTATAAATGGTCATGTTCCTGTGCCATCTTGGCACTGTTTAATTTACAGGTTAAACATGGTGTAAATGATAAGCTATGGGAACTCCACCTACCATGTAGCTGATTATTTGTTTAGACAGTGCCATTTAAACAAGTCACATACTGATGGCTGTATGGTAGGAAACCTGGAGAAGCTGTGAGGAACAAGGGCCAGGATTTTCCAAAGTGTGGTTTCTGGAGTTTTCACAATAAATGAATCCATTTGTGCTTTCTGCTAAAAACTTAGTATCTTAGGAGGAAAGAAATCCTGAAAATTTGTCCATTTGTTGAAGCTGTGCACTGAGGAAAAAATCCAAGTGTGGGTGCTGAATATTTTTTGGGAAAAGGACAGAAAAGAAAAAAAAGGAAAAGAAAAGAAAAAAGGAGAAGAAAAAAGGAAAAGAAAAGAAAAAAGGAGAAAAGAAGAAGAAAGTAACGGAAAAGAAAAGAATAAAGAAAAGGAAAAGAATAAAGGAAAGGAAAAGAAAGAAAAAAGAAAAGAAAAAGGGAAAAGAACAGAAAAAAAGGAGAAAAGAAGAAAGTAAAGGAAAGGAAAAGAATAAAGGAAAGGAAAAGAAAAGAAAAAGAAAAGAAAAAAAGGAAAAGAAAATAGAAAAGAGAAAAGAAAAGAAAAGAAAAGAAAAGAAAAGAAAAGAAAAGAAAAGAAAAGAAAAGAAAAGAAAAGAAGTAAAGAATAGAATAAAGGAAAGGAAAAGAAAAAATAAAGGAAAGGAAAAGAATAAAGGAAAAGAAAAGAATAAAGGAAAAGAAAAGAAAAAAGGAGAAAACAAAGGAAATGAGAAGAAAAAGAAAAGAGAAAATAAAGGAAATGAGAAAATCCCAAACACAAGTATTGATGTATCTGTGGGATAATACTAAATTATAGCCATACCTTGATGACTCTGTTAAAGCCTGTGGTAGGTACAGATCTTCCACATCCTACAGCCTATCAGCATGTCCAAATGAAGAGCTAGAAGAGAGAGAAGAGCTAACCATTTGTCTCACGTAGTAGCAATCCTGATCCCACCCTTGGGATAGTGCAGTATGCTGGTGTTTCAAATCTAATGTAACCCCTGTTTTAATGCAATGGCTAAAGAAGTCTGAAAAAAGAGACCTTTCTCCCCATCAAATAAATGATGTGTATCAAGATGATCTCTCTGGAAGGAAGAGGCACAGCAGCTGCTCAGGTTTCATCTTAGTACAATAAAACAAGGCAGAAGATGGTGAGTGTTGAGTGGGTTTGTTTTTACTGAAGAAAAGACACTGAGTTGAAGGAGTTATTGATTTGTGTTATGTTTGGTGTCTGAAGGCCAATCACATGTTATTACTGCTCAGAGGTAGAAAAATCCTTATCCATGAGTTCAGGCAATTTCTGGTCTTGAAAAGAGGCTGCAGTGGTATGTGGTGACTGGTGTTAGCATACACCAGTGATGTGTATGAACACCTACCAAGTGTCATGTAAGGAGAAGTGTATTTCTTTCAGCGTCATGCCCATGCACTGAGCCACTGGTAGAAGTAGAATGGCCATAGTGCCTACAGAAACAGACATGTTCACCCAATTTGACTGAGAAAGAGCACCGTAAATGACGGTGAGATTAGGCACAGAAGAAGATAACTCTCAAGGCATATGATCCCATCTCCAGACAAATGGGTGAGTGGAGAAGACACCCCACATGATTTTTTTTGCCCTGTGGCAGTACTGTGGTCGTTCCTGGAAACAGTGGAACAAGCCCAGAACATCCAACCATGACAAACTCCTGTCTGTGTCCCAAAATGATCTCCTACATGTTCACTGGGAACTGCAAGAGATGATCATAATCTCTGTTGTCCCTGGAATAGCTTCAGGGAGGTAGTACATTGAGTTGCTACATGTTGGTCACTGAAAGCAAAAAATGCTGAGGTATGAATCCTTGCATGTTCCTATGGTTCCTGTGTACAAAAGGATCTTGGAAGGGTCTAACTGCCTTATTGATAATATCTACTGTGTGCTATATCCTGCTAACATGAGATTATTTCTTCTGCTCTTCTAGAGCTATACCATTGAAGTCCACTGTCACCAGCGTAGCAGACATGGAAGTCAAGTTATGAGAGATCGGAACATACATTTCACAGTGCTGTTAAGTGGGAAGTCCACAAGGCAGTAAATGAACTTTCTGACAACAGCAATGCATCATTTCCAGACCAATGGCCTGGCAGAGTGCTTTAGAAACAAATGCTGAAAAAGTGGTTTGGGTAGGACATAAAAAACCTGGGTCTGATTACTGCAGTCATTTCTGTTTGCAATATGGGAAACCCTCAGACCTCCATCAGCTTTTTGCCATTTCAGCTGCTGCTTAATGACAATCCTGTATTGCATGGAGTCTGTTGAAAGAAAATGACAAAAAGCAAATTTTGATGTCATGAAGTGTTGTTGTTATGTGTGTTTCTGACAATAGACCATTGCCAAATAGACCTGTTGATATGACAAAAATGTTCAACACAATCAGCACAAATACTGCAGTGTGAAATGCCACTTTGCCTGGAAATTGTCCTCTCCTGTTTTCCAGTCTCCACTGCAGTCCTACTTACTCAGTAAAAGCTCACATCCCATTGAAAAGTCTCTGGGGGAGTGATGGAAAGAATGGACCCCTTGGATTCCTTTGTAGATTGGGGGGTTAAGGGAGAAAATCCTGCAGATAGCTAGACCGAGTTGTGAAGAATGAACAAATATACAGATAGTGGAGTAAACCAAAGTGACAACAGTATTAATTCTGTTCTGATGGGACCCTCAGGATATTGTGATCAAATCAAATCAATCTTCCATGCTGTTTCTCCCCCATCTCTGCCCTCTTCATAATAACATATCAGTACAATCTTCTGTCTTTCATAAAACTATAACCTACTTGCTTTTTCTGGTGTATGTCTTCATCCCCCTAAACCAGTACAGGCTTTGGGTGTCTTCTGCTCTAGCTGGAACATGGCAGCTGAACCCAGCTGCTCCTACTTGCATCGAGACAAAATATAAGCCATACACCTGAAAACTGTTCCCACGGTATGCCATTGGGATGTGCACAATCCAAGTCCTTGTGGTCCCTAACCTTAGCACTGGTTCTCAGCTTTGTGACAGCATGTGAACTTAGAGATCTCAGAGCCTCCTAAGTAACCATAAGCTGTCCAAACCTACAGTTAAGAGACCTCATGTTGTCTTGGTAGGTCTCACAGTAGTCTGTCACAAGTGTTTAGAGCTCAGCAGCCCTTACCCTAGAGCTAGCTGTAAGCTACACAGCCTGTAACCTTAGGGGTGTTTGAGTTTGGTAATAAGCCTGATAGCCCCTGACAATCTGAAGTCTTACTTTAGTGTTAACTCTTGTTCTTCTCATAGACTCAACCCTACAGTCTAGGGACATCTGCCCATACAGGAACATTTCATAAGTCACTCCTCCATTCCCTTGTTAGCCCAAAGCATGTCCTGGATCTAGCTGCACTGATATATGTGCCAAGCAGTGCTATTTCATGGCATTTTGGAAAACGATTGGTGTGGTTGTTTTGGAGTGAGTGTATGTGGGGAGCTGGAGGGGGAGTGGGATTAAGGAGTCTCAGGGCAGATTTTCAAGAACTGAGTAGAGGTCCCAGAGGACCTCTGATTGCCCCTCTGCTCCTGCTTACCCACTGTCCTACACCACTGCTATGCCAGCCGCCTGCCGGTGTGCTGGCAGGAGGCAGGTGTCCCCTTCAGGAGTGGTCAGTTGCTCCTTGTCTCCCCAGCAAAGCTGGGACCTTCTGCTGCTGCCAGCTATCTGCCATGGTGTACAAGAGGCCACACAAAACAAGCTCTGCTTTCCTGGGCTCTTTCACTGCACTGGAGGGTCTGAGCTAATAGCCTAAAGCAGACCTGATTACTTGCTCTAGGAATGGTGCCAGCAGGGAACGACAGTACTGCAGTGTTTCTCAGGCTCTTATTGCAGCACCATTTAATAATGCTTAAAGCGTGACCAGCAGCACCGCTGGTGCCTGTCCTGGTTTGTATTCGGTCCAAGATACATTGTTATGAGGCACTAGTTTCTCCTAAGTTTTGTCCTTAAGAGAACTGTTTTGTTTGGGGATTTTTTTTCTGTGCTTAAGAATCCACGTGAACGGACGCTGTTTTGGGTTTGATCCTGGAAGTACAGGAATACTTGAGAGCCAATAGAGCAAAGCACTTCATCAGGGGCTTAACCTCAGTTGCTCAGCTCTCTATTTGGTGAGACTCCTCACGTGCCTGAGGGCTTTGCAGAGCTCTGAGCACCTCAGGGCATCAAGCCCATTACCCAGCGCTTCACCTCCCCAACTGGCTGAGTGTGATTCTTGGCCCTGCTGTGGCTCTGGGAATCAAGCCAGTCATCCTTCTGGTGAGGCAATTGGCAAAGCTGCTAGTCTGCTCAGCTGCTGTCCCTTCCAGGAACTGGCATCTCTGGGGGAAAAAAGGACTAATTCTTAGTTATTCTATATTTTACTGTTAGTTTTCCCTGATTCACAATGTCATGACTGCTTGTTCCTTCTCAATCCAGGAAACTTTAGTGGCTATAACTGTGGTGACTGCAAGTTTGGCTGGACTGGCCCCGAGTGCAACACAAGAAAGCCAGCAGTTGTCAGGAAGGATATCCACTCTCTGACGGCAGAGGAGAGAGAGCAGTTCTTCGATGCTCTAGACCGTGCAAAGACAACCATTCACCCGGACTATGTAATTGCAACTCAGCACTGGAGAAGTCTGCTTGGTCCCAATGGAGAGGAACCACAAATTGCCAACTGTAGTATTTACAACTACTTTGTTTGGCTCCATTACTACTCAGTCAGAGACACACTATTGGGTTAGTGCTTTGCTTATCCAATGAGCTCTGCAGATAAAGGTAAAAAGTATCACTGCTGAAGAAAGGTATATGCTTAACACAGCTGTGCTGCTTCATTGAGCCATAAGTCCCAGTAGGCACAGAGCTGTGGAGTGAAACAGTTGGTGGTGAGAAGCTGATGGCCATCTGTAGTCAAGGGGGATGTCCTTTGGACCTGCTGTGGTCTGGTCCCCTCACCCTTTGGCAGCTGGAGCACACCAGTCACACTCCTGGTGCATCTTCCATCTGACACGGAGGAAGTGCACAGGCTTTGCTGTTGAGTGAACTGAGTTCAAAAAGACATTCCTATTCCATAGGACAAGGTAGATGCGGTGGCAGTGGGAAAGGGGGTCTGTAGTGGTGAAGGCACAGACCATACAGAGATTATTGGGGACCAGAGTGCTACTGCTTTCTGTGGTCTTCAGCACATTGCTAAGGATAGGATTTGCCTGACTAACCACAGTCAGCTTTTACAACCAACCTAGGTTAGAGGTTTGGGTATCTAACCCCATACTGTATCCCCAATCCAGATTCCTAGTCCTCATTGTTTTTCTAGACAGAAGTACTTCTAACAGCCCCATTTCACAAAGCACACTTGTTGCAGGTGGAGACACAACCAGTATGGCTTTTTTACCTGGCAGTCCTCTGTGAAAGCTGAACAGCACATATCTACCTCCTTGCTGGAGGGTGTTTGCTACTCTGCAGTGGGTTTCGCTCAGTTTGCCCATCTGACGTGGTTCCGTTTGGCAGGACTGAAGGAAGCAGTCTCCGGCCTAGCAAGAGCAAAGGTCCTTCGGGGACAGGACAATCATATGGAAAGGGAAAAAGGCAAATTCTAGTGTGACTGTAGTGGTAAATAAATTCATATGTGGGTTGAAGCTTGCTGCAGTAATAAACAAATCCGTATGTGATTTGAAGTCTTTCACCTTTGAGTATCTTAGTTCTTGTGTAATAGCAAAAGCACAATACAAGAAATAACATGCATGATTTAAAGAAATTGACAAAGGACATTGAATTACTGTTGGCATGTTATGGAAGATGCTGAGGTGTGAGTCCTTCAACTGCGCAAGAGAATGAGATAGTGTGGTACATATTAGCAAGGAGCTAGGGTTTTAGAAAGTAAAAATGCTTCTTAAAACCGAAATCCACTAAAGTCAGTAGAAATCATCACAACATCCAGCTTTTTAGGGAATGTGAAGTTCTGAGAAGCACTGAAGCAAATATCCTCAGAGGAGTTTGTTTCCTTTGTCACAAGTGATGTAGCTTCTGATTTGTGCGCTCTTTTCAAAGATGCAGGGCTGCGGGTTTTTGTTTGTCTCCACTCCATGTAATAAAAGAAGGTGCTGTCTTTTTCTCAAGCCTTGTTTGGTGCCTAAGTGCTTATTTTATCTTCCCTTTGTAGGTCCTGGGCGCCCCTTCACAGGTATTGATTTCTCCCATCAAGGACCTGCCTTTGTTACTTGGCATAGGTACCATTTGCTGTTGCTGGAGAGAGACCTGCAGGTTAGCTGAACAGCCTTTCCCTTTCCTTGTGCACTTTTTCTCCCACTTGATATGTGACTTTGTTGAGCCAGCCAAGGGTAAGCTATTTCCTAGGATAGTTTCTTACCCAAATTCCCAGGAGTATTTGCTTACTGATCCCCCTTTTCTGTTGTTTAAAGTGAAATTATTGCTTTCAAGATACTGTGGAGTGAGCAGTTTCTCACTGTGAACAATGATGTGAAGGTTATAATGGAGATTTTTTCCCCTTCATCTCTTCAACAGAGGGTAGAAGATGTGAAATAGCAGTATTTATTTATAAAATCAAAGCAACACCTTCACGTAAAACTTGGTAACAGATATTGTCTGCTGATGTTAAAGATACCATCCCAATGAAACCAGCTCTAAATATTACTCCCCTTAAATGTGCCATATTATACATTCAATACATACATAGATTTAGCAATACATCTTTTAAAGAAATATATGCTAACATGCCTGACAGTCAATTGCAGAAGCATTGACTCATTTCCATTTGCATGATTTCTACATTGACAATTTGCTGTATTTCTGCCTTGCAGATCTCCAATGAAAATGGTTGCTATCAAAATAGCTGCGGGATCTTGCTTGCATGAAATTGTATCTAACAAGCAAGCACAAGCAAAAGCACTGTACTCCCCTATTAATACAAGTTCAGATTCCTCCCCAGGGCTAACCTTTCTAGAACGAAAGCCAACCACATGCACAATTTTACCTATTACCCACTTACATCACTCAGAAAGCCTCTTAGTTGCTTAAGGCTTCATTCAGCTCTGCTCCTGCTCTCCTGCATGGTCTTTGAGTTAGCGGAAAGCCTAACATGGCCAAAAGAAGTGCAATCCCACAGTAGGGAAACTAGAGACAATGTCTTTCCTTAGTCTGATTCAATGCCCCAATCTTTTGAAAGGAGTTGGAGCAATGCTGTGAAATGTGTGTAGTTGAAATGCAGAATGAAAAGCATTATATCCAGTGAAATATCCAGTGAACACCCAGTGAAACAGCTTGAAGGAGTCCCTTTCTCTTTCCTTTGAAGGTGATCCTCTGGTAACACATTTCTGTCCATTGCAGCAACTTATAGGCAATGACTCTTTTGCACTGCCCTACTGGAACTTTGCCACGGGTAGAAATGAGTGTGACATCTGCACAGACCAGCTCTTTGGAGCATCACAGCCAGATGACCCAGGGCTGATCAACGTGAGCTCCAGGTTCTCCCGGTGGCAGATAGTTTGTAACAGGTATGAGAATATCTAGGGCAAGCTGACCAAACCTTGCTTTCATTCAGCATTAGTGTGACTGAGCGTCAGGAAAAGAGCCAAGACTTCTTTAAAACTGGAAATTGCTGTTGGTTTGTGTGTAGATGGTGCTGTGTAAACTTTATCCCCTGGTACTATGGAAATATATTTTTTTAAAGATGATTCTTCTGGTAATGGATTTTAATTGATTCAGCCAATTTGGGGCTGCCAAAAGTCTGAAGAGTTTACACATTGGCAAGTATCTTTCTAAAAAAGAAATGCCTGTGTGTTGTTTCTCTGTAACATACACCCAACTGATCTCGGCAGCAGAAACAGAAAACTGTTTTGACATATAGGAAGACAGAGGTAGGCTGAAAAGTCTGTTCCCTTGTATTGGGTGAGACCTTAACCCTGTTATATTTAGTACAGTTTGGGGATTGACTTCAAAGTGCCTGAGATTTCACATGAAAAACCACACAGAGCCAGCCAGGAGCTTGTTGTCAGCTCTCAGTAGGCATATACTGGTTTGAGTGAGAGCAGAGCTTTGGTGGGGGTTTCAGGTGTAGGATTGGGGTGCTGTGACATAAGATGCTGTTGGTTACAATACCCATATGCCATTCCTCTCTCAGCTCAGGGATAGTGTGCAATCAGTCAGACAGAGGTACTGAAAGCTCAGAGCTTTTCATAAGAGTTTCTTTCTCTGGACACCTAAAGAGCTACTTGAAACTCCAGCTTCAGACACCAGTTGGCCTTAAATCTTGCTCCCATTTTTTCTCTGAGATAAGTAGTTTAGATTTTTTGCCTGAAAATGTGACTAAACTTTTGCCTTGCCAAGATGAAACAGAGAAGAGCTTTAGTTTACTTCAGGAGTTTCTGAAAATGCTGTTTCATTTCATACTGAATAACACAGATTTTCATGTTTTTTTTCACAAACATCATACTGTTTTTCTCCTTCTTCTTCCCTTTCTTTCCCTGATGTAAATGACTTGCTTTCCATTAGATACTGGCCAACCCTTGCAACAACACAATGCTCTCCAGGCCTTGAAAAAAGAGGATGTAATGCATTTCAATTGCTTTTCTTCTAAAGAGGATGAGGATGAAATACCATTTCCTGACATTTCTTGCATTTTGTCTTCTCACACCATGGTGGGACATGGGACTTTCCTGTTTGTGTTTTTTTTTGGTTTTTTTCTCCCCTTTTTGTGAAGAGTTCAAAAAGTAGTCCCTACTCAGGAGTGAAAGTTTGTTAGTTAAAACTTGAAAAGACTATTTTAGACTATGTGACAAAAAGTGTTCTTCCAAAGCCCTTGGGAGGGGAGGAGTTGTGCTTGCCTTTCCTAAAGCATCCTCCATCTGTGGATGATGAACCTGGTAACTCTTGATCCAAATGCCTGATGGTCCACAGAGGATCCAAAGCCACTGAAAACCACAGCACAGTGAGAGTCCTACCACAAATTCATCTGCCAGGCCATGGGAGGTGAACTGAGATGCCCCAGCATGTGTCCATCCCAAATCGCTGTTCTCTCACATGTATAGCTGGGGCTCTTTATACTGCAGGAGAAAAAGTCAAGGAACAAGTCATCATCATCTGACTTGTGCCTCTTTCTGTTTCATGCTCAGCTTAGATGAATACAACCGCCTGGTCACGCTGTGCAATGGGACGGACGAAGGGCCACTGCAGCGGAGGCCACACAGGGGCTCCAGTGAGCATCTGCCCACCGCGGAGGACGTCAGGAGGTGCCTTTCCCTGCAGGAGTTCGACAGGCCTCCCTTTTTCCGCAATTCCAGTTTCAGTTTCAGGTTTGTCCTTCAGCCCCTCCAGAGCCGGCTGAGTCAGTGCCTTTTTTATGAGCACATTTGTCAGCAAAACATGGTTACTTCACGGTGCTTTTACCTATCCACAGGAATGCGCTGGAGGGCTTTGACAAACCAGATGGAACCCTTACCTCACCAATGCTGAGCCTTCATAATTTGGCTCACTCCTTCCTGAATGGCACCAGTGTTCTCCCCCACGCCGCTGCCAACGATCCTATCTTTGTGGTATGTCTTTTAACCCCAGCATTATTGGCAGTGGCTGTGGCTCAAAGGCACCTTTCTCACCAGAGATTTGTGAAACAAGTGAATTCCCTAAAAAATAGTCCTTTCAATAGAAAAGGAGGAATCTTTTATCTTTTCTTGAACACTCCTACCCTGCATAATGGTCGAATAAAGAGGAAAGAAATATCAGGGTGATTTGTGAGATGTAAAATAAGATTCTATGGAGAATAGCTGCTATTCCAAATCACAATGTCCTGAATCCTTTCATTAGGTGGTATCTTAATTTAGTGGCTGATACAGGACAATTTTACAGCAACAAGACAAACTGAAAGTGTGGCTAGTTATTTTAAAGCAGTAGACTGACTAGTTTGTTTCTTTGTTTCAAAATTTACAGGCTAAAAGGAAGTGCATCTAATGTCAGGGTCTCTTGGGAAGTAGAAGTAACGTGATTTCAATGGTGTGTCAGTACAATGCTGCAGTGCACTGAGCAGCACAAACAGCAATCCGCAAATAAAACCAGCAGTTGGCTCTGCTTACACATCATTCTCTCCTAATAAATTCATGCCAATTTATTTTCCTGCTTGTTAGATTAAACCACAGTTATTATATATATAAGTTCTTTATATATTATATCTATATATTATATCGAAGCATTTCTTTCTTACCTTTATTTTAAGTTTACTATCTTTTGTTGGGGAAATTACTCCAAATACTTGTGTGGTGGTTCTCCAGATTATTTCCTTAATAATTCTTTAATTCCTACATTAGTTTCTCTCTTAGACAATGAGATTCATTTCACTATCCTGTAATCTTATACACAATATTGTTTTCTATAGGATATTTTCTAAGGTTTTTTCCCAGGGTTGTAATTAAAAAGCATGCATACATCAGAAATTAGTTTGAATTGTTCCAGACATTTGTAATAGTTGTCTGAAACAACTTGCCTGTATTAATTCATTAGAGACCTATAAACTCACTGGGGAAGACCTGATCAAATTCATGAGTACCTGGAGTGGTAGAACTGGTGGCACACTCTAAAATGAGCGTGATGGAATCACATTTCCTGCAATTTTCCATACTTTTTCAGAGATGAGAAAGATAAAAATAATTTTGAAAGGTATATTCACATGAATGAACTCAGTGGTCCCTCACCCAGGAAGATGGACCTGCCCATTCACTGCCAGCTGATATTAAACTGTCTGGAGAAAGAGTTTATTATGAACAAGCAGCAACAAGGGTGTATACAGCAAAATGTCCCATACAGGAGATCGATTTAGTCTTCTCATGAGCTTTCCTAGTTTCCCATTCTGTAAATACCATCTAAATTATATTACCCTCTTCTCTTTCTTTCAAAAGCTCCAGCCACCTTAGGTGAGAGTGTTTTAAAAGTGGTTGAGTTCTGAAAGAGCTTAATATATGTGCGTGTGGATGCTTGGATTTGCAGGTTCTTCATTCCTTTACTGATGCCATCTTTGATGAGTGGATGAAGCGTTTTAAGCCCCCTGATAATGCTTGGCCTGAGGAGCTGGCCCCCATCGGTCACAACCGACTGTATAACATGGTCCCTTTTTTCCCTCCTGTGACCAACGATGAGCTCTTCCAAACTGCGGAGCAACTTGGCTACACCTATGCCATCGACTTGCCAGGTATGTCTCAGAGGTGTGGGGGCTCTTCCAGTTCAAGTGATGAGACAGCTCACATTTTCAATGACACAGGCATATATAAAATAAGGAACCTTTCACAAAACACACAGGTCTATTCACCTGCTCACTGGCGAACACGTATCGTAGCAAAGAAAGGTAGTCACAACTCGCTGTGTAAGTCATGGTAACTACAAGTCTGAACACACTGCGTTTGCTCTGCTGCAAAACACATCAACTTGAACTGCTCCAGCATTGTGAAGAGTGCTCCTTTGAGGCTGAGTAGTCTTTGATTTTAACTCCTGTTTCCAGTGTTGTTTATGTTTGTTATACCATCCTTTAACCTGTCAGAGGTCAAGCTTTCTCCCAGGGAGCTCCTCTGACTAACATTGGTCACTAGAAAACACTTGTTTTGCCCAGGACCCTGAATAACACCGCATCATGAATCTCATTAGAGATGAACTCCATTATTGTTTGGATACCCTGGAGATATGTACCTGGGTGTTTTGCTTTATAAACCCCTAATTTTAAAGATTTTTTTTCCATGCCCATATGTGGTATGTGCCTTAGGGCTTGTCGATTCGTTTGAAATTACCTTTGACACAAATCAGACAAAGAAAAAATATCAAGAAAGCAAAGTATGCACAAACTCTAAATTTTGCAACAAGAGTTACAAATGTTTGTAAAAGGCAGAAGTATAAGAAATACATGAAACTTATGCTTCAGCTGCTTTACCAAAGATTAAATCTGAGCAGTTTCTTTCTCCACCTTGGTATTACTTTGAGAGGCACTAAGTGCTTATCTAACCCATGTGGACAGGAATTTCTTCTAAATGCTTACCATATATCTGTGGGTTTAATCTGTAGAGACTGTTTAAAGGTCTATAGTCTGAAAAAACCCTTGTCTGAGGCTGCATTCATGCAGTGAATGCTTTGTGAAGGCATGCTAGCTGCTTCTGCAGTACTTTTCTCAGGGGCATCCCCAGGATTTTCCCTCAAAATGTAAACTTCCCCTTTGATGGAGTTTAAGTTTTCCTCCCTTTGGACTACTGCCCCCTTATCTGACTTTGAATACATGTCTGCCTCTCGGGCATGAGGCACACAGAGAGGAATAAAGGCAGCTTGTGATTCTGCTGCTTCTCAACTCCCTCCTAAATAAATTGTTAGCTCTCTGTGAAGGAGTGTATCTATTCCTGTCTGCATGGCCTGTGTTCAGACAATAAAGCTTTTATCTCCAAACCCTTCTCTTTTATCTAAGTATGTAACTTGCTAATTGTACTTCATGTAATCACATTAGAAATCAACATACAGTAATACATTGCTGGCTCTTACTTGAAAGATGGTAAAGTGTTAAACCTTTCATTTTGGGACTTTACTGATTTTTGGAATGATTGCCCTCAACTGTTTTGTTGACAGAGTCTGGAGACTGGGGCACACAACTTCTAGTTGCTCTTATAGTGAGCATGACATCTCCCTGAGCCATCTGTCTCCTTAAGCCCATGTGTCTAACTAGCTTCTAAATACCTGAAGTCCTCTTGAGAGTTTTCTGTGAATATTTAGTCAAATGTAATTATTGCCATCTCCCCATATGTAGTATTTTTCGGAACAGGAGAGGAGGCAATTTTTTCTTCTGAAAGCATAAATGAAAACACAGAAACTCAGCCAAGTGGAGCAGTGTTATTATAAGAATGGACAATATAATCTTAGAAGACAGTGGTTCTTCAGAAGTGGTTCAAAATCAGTTGATGCGATCTGGAACTGGTTAGCAGAACCACACTAAGTAATGTTTTCAGGTAAAAGCTTGACAATAGGCTGCTTTGTGATCTATAGCAAAATCCGAGGGTTTTCTGTTGACCAAAATAGCTTGGAAACAGCTATTTTGAAATGTCATCATAGAAAGAATTCATAATTTCATTCATAGTTTTTGCCAAATTAGATAAAATAATGGTCTTTCTGTCTTGTCACTGTTAATCTTTCCCACCCCCGGCACTTTCAGTTGTGTGAAATGCTGAAGCTCTAGACCTCTCTGGCAGGAACATTGCCAGCTCTGGTATGTGTCTTGGTTTCATGGTGCATTACCAGCTTCCCCTGTGGCCACTGCATCATTAAGCTGAAGAAGTAATCATAATTATCAGGCTGTGGGAAATTCAGTGTAATTTGAAAAATTAAATTATGAGCTATCCTCACTTCAGTCATTTCATTTTTTCAGGTTCTCTTGAAGAAACCCAAGCATGGGCTGTTATGGTTGGATCCACAATTGGAGGAGCACTTATAGCTCTGACCATGCTTGTTCTACTGCTTGTATTTTTCCAGCACCGAAGGCAGAGAAGAGGTTTTGAACCACTCATGAATGTGAGCTTCAGCCCCAAAAAGTACATGGAAGAGGCCTAGTGCCTTTGCTCTGTTTCTTTGCTTATTCTTGTAGGAAGTGACCTTGATTGCCTTATGGAGATCTTAGCTGAGACTTTATCGCACACTCCGTTGGCAGCTGACTAAATTGTTCTCATTCAGGTTTTTCCCGTTATCTTGTGAATTGTAATGTGTGAATTCTCTGGGTACATATGAGCAAGACTCAAGACAGGCTAGATTTTTCCCATTACTAAATGTTATCTGGAGTGTGTGACACTTGTAAGTCATCCTCTACAGATATAGATCAAGACAGCTAAGAATCCAAATAGAAGACAACCAACTTGAATAACCAAGATAATTTTTCACCTCAATGTGTTCTTGATTTCATTTAGCAGCATTAAGATGTGCTAAAAGTGACTAAATCTGCATATATATTTGAATAACATTATTTTACAGTTATCAATAAATATTCTGAATATCATAGTCTTTTTTTAAGGTCAAAGTGCTTTGTGCTGTTTGACAAAATACTATAGGAACCCCTTGGTTACAGTTTATTTCAGAAACATGATCAATTCCAGATGTTATTTCCAATCAAGCTGATGTTAGCAACAGGTAAACTCCAAAACCCAAATTCTCCTAGAATTTTAGAGCAGAAGTTCCCTGACACCTAGGTATACACTTGTATTTTACCTCTGTGTTAGGGACCTTAGGAAGAAGTTGAAAGTAGTGCTTATCCTTTTCTATTTTGTCTCTGCTGCACTGTTTCATAAGCCTAGACTTAAATTTCCAAAATCCAGGATCCAGGACTCAAGGCTGTAGACTAAGATAGTGTTGGGGCCTGGCTAGCAGAGGAGCTGTAACTTGAGCAACAGTTAAAGGAATGCTTAAGCAATTAAAAACAAGACACACAAAGTAGGTCTTGCTGACCTTGTTTCTATCTTCAGTCATTCCTGTGTCTTCAATCCATTACTTTCTAATGGTCTTGTTCTCTCCTGCTGCCAGGGTTTTTAAGTCTGGTTTAGTTTTACTGTCTTATAGATAAGTCGTTTTGCTAACAAGCTAGAATAGTGCTAGTATTTAGATTCTCATATACACTATGTAATTCTTGCTATCAGTTTCCCAGGATGTGAGAGCGGGATGCAGCTTAACATTGTAACCTATCATAAGTAAGAATTGTACACATTGACAAGTGGAGCAACCCATCCAAAGTTGTGTGATCAGTGCGTAGCTGCATGTACGGGAGACTTTATACTATAAATACTATTAGGTGCCCAAAATAAAGTTGACTATCAGAGCATCATATTGGTGTGCTCCAGCACACTGTTCCGTTCCTCGCCAGGACCCCAACAAGACAGCTTGCATTACTCAGGTCTGTAGGTGGGGAATGTGGTTTGGATGTAGGTCTCACTAGACCCCATCTTAAACAATCCTTTTTACATTCCCTATATATTTCTTTATTTAGACATAGATTTGAACCTCATTTGGATTGTTCTTGTATGTTATGTTGAGAGAGGATTTTTACATAGCAAATGAAGCCCTGAACAGATTGTGTCAGCTTTGTTGCCTGATATATTACATTAGCTGGGTGTTCAGACTTTGAGTATTGTGAGGTCCTGAGTCTTATAAAAACTTTGATTTTGTAGTCTTAAATAAAAAAATTCAGTTAGTAACTGTTTCTGGTATTTCTTCTAGGCCTGCTCAATACTAGCTATGTGGACTAGAAAGAAGATGTCAGTAGGTCTTCACATATACTTAGCTTTCAATATGTGTAACTCACAAAACTTATCTCTGAAATGTGGACTTTTTGAGACAAAGAAAATTATGATTTTTCTCACCACATACTGAGATAGTCTTGCTGCAGTAGGTGGACAATAATCTGCTGCCATTTCTGCTATTTTGTGGTGCCTTTCGAGGATCCCAGTGCACTTGTTACTGGCTTATGCCCAAGATGTAAAGGGTTGAAGCACTTTTTGTACAGCAGCTCAGCCCAGTACCCTAGCTCCCAACTCAGGCTGCCTTTCAGGGTCTTTTACTGTTTACCAATATTGCATGGTGCTGAGGACATCAGATGACGTGCTGAGGTCATCCAGAGAGCTGGCTTACACGTGTCACATCAGTTTGACCCTGATCAGTGTTTGTAGCTAGGTCTGAGATCTCCATGTGCCTTTCTCAAGGAGATGTCAGCCCTTTTCCAGCACTACAAGACTATGAGTCTTCACACAGAATTACAGAAGAGTTTGGGTTCAGATCATCCAGTCCAGCCCCCCTGCAATGAACCGGGAGGGACATCTTCAACTAGATCAGGTTGCTCAGAGCCCCATCCAAACTTACCTTGAATGTTTGCAGGGATGGGGCATCCACCACCTCTCTTGGCAACTTGTTCCTGTGTTTCACCAGCCTCATTCTAACATATTTCTTCTTATGTCTGGTCTAAATTTACACTCTTTGTAAAACCATATAATTACCTCCTATCACAACAGACCCTACTAAAAATATTGTCCCCATCTTTCTTAAAAGCCCTCTTTAAGTATTGAAAGACTACAATAACATCTCCCTGGAGCCTTTTCTCCTCCAGCCTCAACAACCCAGAACATGCACGAGTTCATGCTAAATTCTAATTTAGAGAAATGCTGTTGGAGATTGACACATTTTTGTCCTTCATGGGGTGTGGATGCCAAAGTTTAGGAGGCAAGTATTGTCCCCATCTTTCTTAAAAGCCCTCTTTAAGTATTGAAAGACTACAATAACATCTCCCTGGAGCCTTTTCTCCTCCAGCCTCAACAACCCAGAACATGCACGAGTTCATGCTAAATTCTAATTTAGAGAAATGCTGTTGGAGATTGACACATTTTTGTCCTTCATGGGGTGTGGATGCCAAAGTTTAGGAGGCAAGTCTAGGCTTCTATTTCCAAGGCTGAATGAGATTTTTCCTTGGGGTTGCAGTGTGCCTGACTAGCTTCATCACCTTGGAGGTTTGGATACTGCTGTCCCAAGGGTTTGCTTTGCAAGATGGCCTGGTTATGGGCACGTAACAGTGGCAGTGGGGTAGAGAAAGGAAAGAAAGAGGGGAGAAATGTAAGAAATATATCACAGCAGCTAACTTATTAGAACAGATTTTGCTGAAGAGCTGATGGGTAAAGCACAGATGAGTTACTCTGTTCTCACTTGTAAATTGAGTGGAAAGGTATTTTCCTTTCTAGAAGAAGAGCAATAAGGGCATTAGATTAATACTGTGGACATAAAAGTACTAGGCTGAAAGACTCTTTCCACTGGCTGGCCCTGAGTTTAGTAATTAGGGCTTTAAAACTGTGAATGGTCTTAACAGCTGCTTATTAAAACCTGCAGCTGTATCGAGAGCACAACTTGCCCTCTAGTGGTTTTCTGAAAAATTGCGTGGTGACACCAGAAAGCTCTTTTTTCCCCTTTGGAAAAATGTGCGGTCTTGGTCTAGCAACCAAGGAAAGTTGTGTCCTTGATGAAGGGAAGAAGCACAGGTTAACTTTTTATGAAATGCTTAAAAATAAAGGAAGTTGATCATAGGCACTTTGAAGAATGGATGGAGGAAATCCTGCAACAAGTCCAATTGTAAAGGTTGGTTTCACATGTTTTAATGTTCCATTCATCCCGAACTACGTAAGAGGCATTTTTTGTTGCTGGTTTATGCAGGTGTTAGTAAGTACCTGCTATCTCTTGTTGCATAAATTGTCCTGAAGCTATTACTGCTGGGGCAGGATGAAGAGGGATGCTCAAAGGCTCCCCCGGACTCCTAAACTGAGGGAATGAATGCTGAAAACACATCATCCCAAATCTCCACAGAGGCCAGTACACCCTGGGATTTTCATCCTACAAATCAGTGCAAAGCATAACCTCAGCCGATGCCCATGGACCACCTCTGCCCTTCACTTTTGCCTCTCACATTCATAACTAAACAGTCACACAGCCCAAATGAGGGAAGAAGGATGAGGGATCAGCACATCCATCTTTGTGGCTCCTTTTTACTCAAGACACTTTGCTGACAGATGGGAGGTGCACTGCTGAATGACTTCAAGCTGAGATGGCTGTAATCATTACCTCCCCCATCCCCAGCTAAAATAATTCCTACTGAACTGCAGCTTTCTTCTGACAAAAGGCTCTGAATCACACAGGAGCATGTAACAGCTGCAAATTAGATGTTTAAGCTCTGGAGGGGGAGAAGTGCTCAAAAACATCCTTTTCTCAGCCTTTTTGTTAGCTAGACCCATGCAGCTTCCAGCTTTGCATGTAGAGCTTTTGTGTGGATTATCTTTCTGAGGAGTTTAATGCTCTCTAGTCACTAGCTAATTGCTCTTTCAATTTGCTGTACTGGATCCGTGGGCAACTAATGCCTCTTTCTGAGTCAGTAGGTTAGGTGCCTAATTTTTTGACACTGTAGTAAGCTGGTGGCAGCCACATCATCTCTATCAGTCATGGCCTGTGCCTTTGTGCAAATGATTATCATGAACATACTCTTAAGGAATTAGTGAGAACCCATTTTCTGATTAAATTAAATCTCATTCTTGGCTGTTTAGCTAAATGCTTGAAAAGGAATCTGTTCCCATTCTGCCCCTGATTTAGGAAAGAAGTGACATAAAGCAACAACATATCATGGCCGTTGTAAAATTGGAAGTCACAATACCATTATTGGCTTTCTTTTGGGAGACATGTCTCTGCTTGAGATGGGAAAAAAGAGAAAGAAGAGAAGCAGATTGAAAGACTATCAGCTAAATTTAGTAGTGAAGGTATACACTTACAGAATGAGGCTTATCACTGAGGCTACTAGGAAAGAAACTTGGTTTTCTAAAGTACCAGCTGTGGCCAGTTATGCAGTGCATGCAGCCACTGAAGTGCCCTGAAATCAGCTGCCTCCACAAAGTCAGGTTACAAACAAAGCTGCACCTGATCCTGCTCTGCTTCAGTACTCCTGTAGCTGAGACACAGCAGATATTGATTATTGAGAGCTGAGAGCTTTTTACTAAAACTAGGCCTTCCAAGACCTGGGTGTGCAGAAAAAATGATACCAGTGCTGGCCATTTTTTTTTTTGCACACCAGCTTCTTCTTGTGATGGGGGGTATTCACCTCCTCTGCTAAAGGCTGAAAGATCACGGACATCAAAAGTTACCTTCTACAATGGGCTTCAAATTAAGACTATATTTAACCCACTGCACTGTATAGATCCAAAACCATGATCCAATACCAGGAGGGCATTCTCTAAGGGTGAAATATGGGAAGAAAGCTCCAGGGGTTTACCGAACTGCAGAATCTGCAGGTTTGGTTCATTTTGCCTGTGCTGATCTTCATCATGGATCCTGTTTGCACTCATGATGATGTAACCATCACTATGTGTTCCCACTTCAAAGGTCCCACCCGTCCTTGTGTCAAGACAGATATGATTTGCAGGATAGCAACTAAAATAATAAATCTGACAATGAGAGTGAGAAACCTCAACACACTAAGCTATT